GGATTTTGCTGCCAGAATAAGCATGTTTTCAGTAAGCACAAACAAACCTCTTTCTTCAGCTGTGCTGTTCCAATTGTTCCCATCGGTTCCCCAAGTGAGTGCAGCAGATCCACCTTCCTGGCTCACTTGCATGCAAACATCACCATGCCATCTCTGAGTTTTGACTGATGGCAGTATGCTCTAATAAAAAAAAGACCTTACTCGTATGAAAAAGCTCCGTGTGCGTCATGAAAGCTATTTCAGTCTCTGCTGCCTCCTGAGCTGAATGTAAACCGACATCGGTGACTCTATTCAGATATAATTTCGTAAAAGGAAGTAAGAAGCATGACTTTCAAGCTGTATGTGAAGATGAGCTAAAATAGTAACCGAAGTATCTCAAGAGAGTGTGAGGACATTAAAAAAAAAAAAAAGTTCTTTTAAGTATATGCATTGTTAAGACTCTCTTTTGTACCGGTTGGATGTGTTAAATTTCCCCCTGTTTAACACTGAATGTGAGCCTTACTATAACAAAGAAGCTAAGTAACTGGAAGGATTCATAGCTTTTCTCATTGAGTTTTGCTGGTTGGCCTTGATCCTAAGGAAAATCACCCTTAAACTTGAAAAGGTCAGTTTGCATGGCATTCCCTTTCAGTCTGCTTGGAGAGCAGAAAAGGCTGTTTGTCACAGAGGCTTGTGCCATGGGACTGCTGCACTCTGGCTGTTCTCCTGTGAGAGTGCACAAATTCCTATGTGAGAAATTGGTGAGTCAGGCCTTCAGAGGCAGCAGTGCAAGCACTGCTAACAGCTGCCCATAGCTCACGTTGCCTCAGTTCTGAAAACACATGGTAAAGTCCACTCAGATCCAATTACCGACTTGGACACTGAGAAATTAGGAAGTTTGGCTCCAGAACTAAATGTTCTGGCTGTCTACTTGTCTCTAAAATCCCTGAGGACAGATCCATGATATCAAAAGCTATAATGATTCAGAGAAGTTCGAATCTTGTTATACAGTAGCTGTACTCAGGCTGCTGCTCATTAACTACAGTTTTATTGCGTTTTGGTTTTACAGAGTAATTTCGTTTTTCATCTCAGTCACTTTGCTGCAGGTGCTGAATGCTGCACCTTGCTCTGGGGGACACAGGTCTAAGACTTGAGCCTCAGGCATTGCTCAGGTTATGGGAACAGTGCTCTCTTCAATAGTAAAGTACTATGGTTGCTTTCTTAACCTGAAATAATATATGTCCTTCTCCACGCCACTGCAAATACCCATGTAGCGCTTAAAAAAATACTCCTTTTAAACCACTTAAATTATAATTATAATAAATTATAATAGTGGTTTCCACTACACTTCACTTTTGGTGATCCTGCCCATGGCAGGGGGTTTGGAGCTTGATGATCCCTGAGGTCCCTTCCAATCCAAGCTATTCTATAATTAATTTTCTTTGTATTGCTGCATAAAATCCAGTATTTGTGGTCTATCTTTATGCCCTTGGACACAGCCCTGAGCTGCCTGCTGTGACCTGACCTGCTGAGACCTGGGAGCTGGAATGACAACTCTGGTGGCCCTTTCCTACCTAAATTATTCTGTGATTCTGTCTTGCTACCAGCCTTGTCTGATCCGTACACCCACACCAATAAAAGAAAGTTGAGTCTTTGCTGGGAAATGGTGCTATTGATCACTGTTTGTAATGTCGGCAGGTTCACTCTGACTTTCCTTTGGGATGTTTGTCAAGTGTTGACACTTCTTAAACAATGAGATTGCTGAGCAGATGCTATTTTTAGGCATTGGGTAATTACTTGTAAAGTGAATCCAGCAATGCTCAGTGTGTAGAGTGTAAATTTATGCATTGTTTGTGTATTCAGGTGGTTTTGATTTTTTTTTCTTGTGTAACAGCGTAATAGATTGAAATACCAAAATAGGAATTGAAAAGTTCTTTTGTTATTTTTACTTTTCCATTTTTTACTTTGGTAGTTTCTGTACCCCCACATCTTTCATAACATTGCAAACTTCTACAAAATAATCAAGAGTTTCTCATAAAAAATCTTATAATTCTATAACATGGGTTTTGCGGTACTTTTTCTTTATATGTTTGACTCTCAACCATCAACAGGGCAAAACAAAGTGACATATTTTAAGACTGCAGCTATCAGGCTGTCACATTAGTATTGATCGTTGTCCTATGTTTTGTATTAGCTTTGCTTATGGCACAGTGTCTGTCTGTGGGACAGCTTGCACAAACAGTGCTAAATGTAGGTCATCATTTAGCATATTTACCCCCCAACCAAGACAACTAATTGAATTAAAAAGTTCAAGAGTTGTATCAAATTTCCTTAACTGAAAAACTTGTGTTATTTTAAATTTTCATGAGTGCAAACCTGGCAGTATTTCAAGAAAGACCCGTTATATATTCATTACCTCTGAGAAAGGTAATTCCTTTCAGGCTAAATTCACAGGCATGTGTGAAAAAATGGGTACAATGAATGGCACTCATTATTATGCAAAAATAGCAAGGTAGGAAGCTGACTTGGACACGATTTCTCTGAACATAGATGCCAATATCGACAACCGCTTCAACAAAATGATAACTAACAAAGTTTTCTGAGTCAATTCTGGACTTAGCTGACATTGGCTTCATAAAAGATACCTTCCGATCAGCATTCTGGTTTCGTTGAAGCTACTATCAGTGAAGCATGCCTATTTACTGGGAGTGGTTCAATAAAGTGAGAAATGAGATGGATCCCAAACCCTGGATCCTCATCACCTACTGCTAAGAAGTAGAGGTAGCTTTAAGTCCTGCTCATATCTTTTCATGTCCAGGGTCACTGCTTTATGCAGGGCAGCTCAGGTGGAAATGCAAGTGGCTTGGAGAGCACTGAATCCAGGGAGTAGAGATAACTTGATTATTGAGCAGCATTCCCAAAATTAGTGGCCATAAGGGAGATGACCTGTTCTCTGAGCAATTTCTGTGTCAGAAATTTTGCCTCGTTGACAAGGATCCTTAGAGGCTGCATCCACTGGGTTTACAGCACAGTATAACTAATCTGAAATGAGTTATAGGAAAAAGAGAGTCCTCTCATGTTTTAAGTATATTACTAGAAAAAGGGGGTGTAATTTTCAGGATGCAGTATTTCTTGAGTGCAAGGTAGAGATAGATACTGTGCAAAAGCTTTTGAAGTCACTGAATACAAGTTAGTCATAAAACAGGAGTGAGGCAGAGTGTAAGTATAAGCAAGCAAGTGGCTGAGTAGAATAAAACTGTAAATATTATTGACTTAGTAAATAAGAGTTTGTATAAGATGTATAAAGTAAATATGATGAATCAACAGGAAGAAATAAGATCCAGGCAATAAAATAAAATAAAAATAAAACAAAATTGATAATTTCCCAAGTCTTGATTTAATTTATGTCTGTTATAAAAAGCGTTCAGTCTAAGCTTGTTCTCTTTGCAGGGTTATTCCATCTGTTGAATGCAGTTTTTTTTCCTGGGGAAAAAAAAAAAAAGGAAGAGAATATAGAAATTTTCATTCTGAAGATGCTACGTAATTATTTACAGGAGAGAGAAAATGTTCAAGTTTAACATCTGGGAGCTTCTGTCCTTTTAGTCCTGTGGGTTAACTGAGGGCTACACTGCCATCACACTTTACTGCTGATTTAAAGAATGAACAGGAACTGCTTCACTTTTGACCGAAACTAATTTTAGAAGTGTAGAACATGTAAGCAAATGCTAGGTATGTTCTAAGATATACAGATACATATGTTAAAAATAATATATATGTATATGTATTTGATGTAAGATACTATTTCTCCTTTGAGTTCTATAGGAAAGTAATGACTTGCATAGCATACTCGGATTACTTTACTTCTAGACAGCAGTTCAAGAAAAGAAAGTATACTTAATTTTAATGTTTTGTGGAACTCTCAAAATTATTTAGCCATGTAAAAAGGCCAGCATTAAAATTTTACAAATTAATTAGTTTTAAATATGTAGTTAGATTAATTATTGTTGTTTAATCATGTGGTAATTCAGTCTCCCTTTCAACCAGTATGACAAATATCTAAAATGGGGCTGTGTCTGTGAGCGTGCAAAGTTAAATGTTCCGCTTTGTTTTCTATTCACATTTTTGCATTAATTTTTCAAGAGCAGGAATTGAAAGAAGATATTTTTGCCTGATGCATAACTTTCATGTTCAGATGTTTTTAGAGTAGTTTCTGTTTTCTCTTTTTTTGGGTAGTGAGGTTTTGCCCTCTAATAGGAAATTTTAGATTACTTCTAAGTATGTCAAGGACATGAGCTTGCTACAGTTGTGTGTTGGTTGCAATGCAGCAGAGATTTTATAGTCTTTAGTCAGTCTGAAGTCTTTCATCCACTGATAATATCAGGAGTAAGACACAATACCCTGCTGAGTGGTTTTTTTTTAGTATTTGGTAGAGAACTGTGGAGAAAGAGAAGATAACACACCTGCCTGTTCTATCATCGTTTGGCAAAGATTGTTTCTCTTGTTCTGAGATGCAGTTCTACAACGATAGTTTGCCATGCTTTATGGAGAATTTATTCTAAATAACAATGAATGATATGTTTTATTCTGTGTTCTTCAGTGGGGAAGTAGTATTTAGGAGATTTGACAATTTAATGCTTGCTCATATCCACATTTTTTGTATTGAAACGAATAATAGCATATAAAGCATCAACTGTGTTTGTCTGCAATTTGTAAATTCAGGTAAGCTATGGGGTTTTGTTGAATATTGAAAAACAATAATTAGTGTTAGCTTTTATCAAGTATCTTCCTTAAAAATATCGGTGAGTTCAGTGCCCACATGACTACTTCTTTTCTTCCTGGCATGCCTAGATCAGTAATAGTTGGTTGTCTTTTACACAAGCTAATTGTGTTACAGCTAAGAGTTCTTTTTCATTTTTATCATTTAAAAAGACATCTTACAGAATCCATTCTCTGTATGTACATTTGTATAAATGCACGTGTTTGTGAGAGTAATCCTCATGCTTTTTACCTTCTCTTTGCAGACAAAACCTGTTGCATTTGCAGTTCGGACAAATGTTGGTTATAGTGCAGCTCATGATGATGATGTTCCAGTCCCAGGCATGGCCATCTCATTTGAAGCTAAAGATTTTCTTCACGTTAAAGAAGTAAGCAAAAATGAAGTAGTAAGCAGAGAACCTCTTTAAGGGTCAGAGTACACCACTGCTTTATTCTCAATTGTTTCTTGACTTTATGAGATTTCTGAGCGTCTGATCATATGCTGTGTTTTGCAATGTATCTTTCATCCATTTTAGATTATCTGGCTTTTTAATGCTGTGCAGAAGAATCCCTCAGTTACAATTGATGATGCATGTTTTCTGCTAGTAGAGTGTTTTGCAGAGGAAGCAAGATTTCCCTAATACACAAGTAGAAATACAAGTGGACAAAGAGCAAGGAAACACAAGAATTAGACTTTTAATACCTTTGCCTTGATGACTGGTGATCAGTATTTTCCATATACATGAAACACATTAAAAAAGGGATAACTTGTATATAGTGAAGAAAATGCCATTCAAGCCTGATGAAATTGCGAAAGAAATGCTCTGCTCTCTCTTGTGACAAAAGTAGGGATGAGTTGGCATAGAGTCTTTGGAAAAAAAAAACAACCTATCAGGATCTTTCAGTGAGTTTGGACAAGCATGACTCAGTTTGGTTAGATTAAATGATTTTGTATTATTCCATTTGTATTTCAAATTATCTGGCAACCTCAGACTTCACATTGAGTCTTTTCCCTGTTTCCAAGGACTAGAAACAGTGCTAAGTTTTTTGTCTGATGGAATTTATGCTTTTTCATCATAGCCGAACTTAGCCTCGAGTGTCAAAACACATAGGAAATAATGAGAAAGAAGCAATTGTCCAAACTTTACTGAATCTTCAGAAATATCTTGAAAAGAAGCTTAGCTCAGCCGAGTTATTATATTGTCTGTGGATGCATGTAGCTGGAAGTAATGAAAACAAGATTAAAATGCAGTTCTTTTTGCAGCCTCAGGTGTCATACAACAGGGTCTCTAATTGCAAAACTGTTTTTCTCTCTGAGCCACTCAGTGAAGCTGACCATCCACCTGCTCTGGAATGGAGCAGGGATGCAGATAAGGGTTGGGATCTCAGTGGCCTTGCTGCTGCCACATCTGGCAGCAGCTGCTGCTAGCAGACTAAACATTCTCAGACAGGTTCTGAGCCATATCCTTCCTGTTCTGCCTGTCTCCTGTTGTGGCTGTGGCTCTGGCCTGCTCTCTCTCCAGGACTCTGTAATCCACTGCATACTGCTCCTTCACTCAGCTCTTCAGTTTATACTGCTGAGAGGGCTCAAGCAAGGGAAACTTAAATTCAGAATCTACATGGACAGTGGTGAAAAAGACTGCACTGATTCTATGAGAGGGAAATTTGTTTTTATTATTAACTTAGATTTATTAAAACTTAGTGCATGTACAGATGACGGATTCCTTCTACTGCATCACAGACTTCCCTGAATCGTTCAGGACTTAAATGCATGGCCATAATTTTGCTTCGCATTTAATTCCTCTTTGTGTTTCACCTGACTCTTCAAGCAGAGGTGTCCTTACAGAGAACCCTTCACCTCAGCCAGCACCTTGAGAGCTGAACATATCACTAATCACTACCAAGATTTCCACTATTGCTTTTTAAAATTGAGAAGTGTTATGTATTCACGGGGTTGGAACTAGATGATCTTTATGTCCCTTCAACACAAGTAGTTCTATGATTCTATGATTCTACATACAGTACGATTTTCTCATAAAACTACCTTATCCTCCTTTGTGTTTACCAACAAAACACTTAGCTATTTTACAGGAGTGAATTCCTCGTGTTTTTATTTTTGCAAGAAAAATTCACAAGGATTAAGTATTTCTACTAAGTATATTAAAATGGATTTTGTTGAGCAGTGGTTTGTTGCACTATTGCACAGGATAAAAATAATACTGTCTATTTAGATTTTAATTTAATGGTGTTTCTTTAATTATATATCTCTTCCATTTAGCAAACTAAATGGTACTACTTTTGCAGACTTCATGTAGAACACAGCGCAGATCTTTTTGACGGCAACCTTTCTTGATTTAATGACTGGTCTTCCTCTACATGTCTTGTCCTACATATTTGAAATGCTCATGCTTATCTTTAATTAGAATTTTTCAGTGAAAGTTTACAATTTTAATAAGATGTTTGAACCAATACAGCTTTGATAAATTGTTCTTCTAATGTAGCTTCCACTTGTATCCTTACTCATTAAAGCATCCCATTGGATGAATAATATCTTATACTGCCAGTTATATTTTACGACCTTAAAATTGTACTTATTTTAACCTTTATTTTTTGTTAAAATCATAAAATTTTCTTCAGGCATCACAGCATTTCTGTACTAACTAGATTTTATATTGTTGATCCACCAACATCATATACTTAGTAAAATTATTTATATTTCATGAGGGCCCACTCGTTTAATATGTTTTACAACTAACTATGCACTTGTTAATTATTATTGTTAATTATTAAATATGTACTATAATAGCTATTTTCATAACTTCAGTTTTAGAAGGGCAAATTTCCTTACTGTTCAGATGTCCATTCCTCGTGGATTTATCACTTTCTGCTTAACATACAGATCACATGAGCTATAGGTAGAGCACATATGGGAAGTGGAACGTTGTCGTATTTCATAAGATATTAGTGAGTTCAGAGAAGCAGGGGAGTTTGAGATATGGTATTTTTATTCTAAATAGGGAACTCAGTTTAATAGAATAAGGGGAAAAAAAAAGATTATTATAGAGCTTTAAAAATTGCTGCAGTGAATAAGAGCAGATCAGAAGAAATCTCTGTCATCCAGTGAGGAGAAGCATCAAGGTAGCTGCAAAGCAGAAAGAAAAATGGTGAAATGGGAGGATATAACAGCCAGGGAGAATCATGATGTTTTGAGAGGGAAAGTTTCTGCTTAAGTACTGTAGCATTTTAATAATTTGCAAGGTATAATTATTTTTATGCATTTCTGAACATTACCACTATTGTTCACTGCCATAATAACATAGTACAATGATTAACTGCAGGGAAGAATTACATAAAATGACTTAGCTGCAAGTCAAAAAATATTAACAAAGTGATCACAAATATAGTAATTTCGTAGTACAAGATATTTTTTTTCTTTTCGTTGTCTAGAAATTTAACAATGACTGGTGGATAGGACGGTTGGTAAAAGAAGGCTGTGAAATAGGATTCATACCAAGCCCAGTCAAACTAGAAAACATGAGGCTGCAGCATGAACAGAAGGCAAAGCAAGGGAAATTCTACTCCAGGTAACAAGAAGAAATAATTTAAAATAATAGTGCTGCCTCTAGCAGTTAATTTGGAAATTAAGATTGTGCGTGCTATACATCTCTTTAATTCTTATGATTGACAGTTAAAGAATGTTGAATCAATGAAAAATGTATATTTATTTATGCAATTAATAATGTCATTGCAGTTACAGAGAGAATGCAGATGCTTAGATTGGTCTGTGATCTGTGAAGGAGTTAGTACATCTGCTGAGTGCAAGCACAAAAATCAATCTCCCTAAATATTACATTATTTGTTCCTTTTTTTTCACAGTTACATTTACTAAACTTTAAAGTTGATTTCAGAAATTAAAGAAAGTATTAAGTCATTCATTGTTTCTGACTGCAGTCATCATAATATAGAAATAAAGATTCAATTCAAACTGAAACTTACAAAAATATTGTTTGATATGCGCAGCTTGAATAGGCTTTCACAAAGCAGAACTTGACTTAGTCTTAGACACTTTGTAACTTCCTTTGACACACTTATTTTTGGTAAGTTTGTACCAAAATAACAAACAAAGAAACTGTTTTAGATGAGGCCACTATTAGTTTCACTAGGGCATTCTTAATAACTATTCTGTTAAAGAAAATATGTATGCTCGCTGGTATGAGAATTAATCATAGTATAATAACCAATAATATTAGTAACTATATTAATGTAATGAACAGCTTGATTACAATGAGGACATGAGGCCGTAAAGACATATGCAACAGAATGAATCGGCAGAGCACGGAGCATGATTGGTGTCTGCACATCCTCAGTGTTCAAAGTGGGCGTTGATTTTGTGTAAGATATATAATTTATGCTACTGTCAGAAATACTGTTTGCTCCGGGGTAGCAGCTAATTTAGAGAAAAATAAAAAAGGTAGAATAAATACTCAAATAGGTGTAAAACTTTAAACTACTTTGTTGCTTTACTGCAGTAAATCAGGAGGAAACTCTTCATCCAGTCTGGGTGACATAGTTCCTAGCTCCAGAAAATCGACGCCTCCATCATCTGGTGAGTAGGTCAAAAGCCCTTCAGTTTACAGAATCAGGCACCTCGTCTGTTAAAACTTACATTACATTTAGTTCTATTTTTCTTATTTCCTGTGCAATTGCATTGCCCTGCAAGGCTGCTTTGGGTAGTTTAAGAGTTAATGCCACCATCAAGTTTAAGTAATGATAGGGCTCTTAACAATCCACATAATTCCTTCGTTCTTTATTTTTGCCATGAAGTTTTATAGCAGAGAGCAAATGAAATGGTGAGGCTGTCTTGTGATAGAATAATTAAAGGCTTAGGCTCTAAGCAATCCTGCTGAATAAGAAATACATTCTAATAGGTAGAAAGAGAAGCAAAAAGAATAAAAACTCCCAAGAGCTCTTTGCAGTAGCATCAACAACCAGGAGCTGTCACTGTGACAGTTCTGATAATGATGATCTGTTTCACGTAATTCTTGAATACTGGTGAGGGTTTTTTTTGTTTGTTTGGTTGGTTGTTATTTTTGCTTTTATGACAGAATTCTTTTTTTATTTTTTTTTCCCACAAATACTGTTCTGAATTTAGAACAGACAGATTTTAACTTTTGTTAGGCTGAGTTCAAGCAAATTCCTCATGAGTTGGAGCAGAATGAAGGTATTAGCTCCAAATATATTATTTCCGAATATATATTCAAATCAACTGCTTTATTGTTGAACATTTTATCTACTCCTGAGAAAGAAAATGGAGAGTTGGAATACTTGAAATCAGAAAGTTCTACGAGTACTGCTAACATCTTGTCTATTGAGGTAAAGATGAGTATTTTCCAAACACTTTATATGGAGCATGATCTACAGAGCAGGCATCTTCAAATGTTCATGAGGATTTTTAAAATATTTACTGGATATTAAGACGGAAACAGAGGAGTTCAGTCAAATTATGCTACTAGACTCATTTGGTTAAATTAACTGAGAAATGTGTCTGTCTTTCTCATGAAACCATGAGTTTGCTTATAATGATCAAGTTTATTACAGTTAGTTTGCCACCTAAGTTCCCTATCAACCGTTTTTTAAGAAAATAATATATTGTAGTTTAATAATATATGTCCATCACAAGTCACTAGAACACACTTTAATCTTTTTTTCTACAAAGGCCTTAAACTGTCATTTTTCAGTGGCTGCATTTTTGAGTAGAAAGTGTCTGTGGACCTATGTTGTAATTTTGTAAATAGAACATCTGAAATGCTAGAATATTTTTATATTCTGCAAACACTTAGATACCAGTACATAGGAAATTTTCTGAATGTTTCATAGAATTTAGAGGTAAGAGATAGCATAATTATGTTGCCAACGCACTAATTGCTAGTGATGCTGTAATTTTCGTTCCATTGAGTCATTTCTTCACATGGTGGTTTTCAGGAAAATGATTTTTTGGAGAAAGAAAAATGATGTTTAATTGATTCAGTTACACTGAAGATTTGGAGTTTGCGGTGTTTTGTTGCTAATACATACCAAGAAGGATGAAAGAAGCATAATTTGTAACTGACACTACAGAGAAGAACCTAATTTTTTGAAGTATAGCTCAATTCTAATCTGATATATTTCTGCTGTTACCAGTTCTCCTCTTTGTGAGAGTAAAATAACTGGCAAAACCAGCAATTATTTAATGAATTGAAGAAATGATAAGTAGAATAAGTTAATTACATGTTTTGACTTTGAGTCTGGTATTTTTTTCCCATATAAAAAAAAGGTGAAGAACCAGTGAAAAACATTGAGAAGAGGCCTATAGTCCTTAAATAATCTGTAGTAATCAACTCATACATTCTTCACTGGCCACCCCACAGAATGATGATAATGGTGAAAATGAGTTTAAAAACAAAAAAGGTACAACAAATTAAAGATAATTAGCTGTAAAAAAAAAAAGGCAAACTGACACATTTTTTATGCAGTGGGAAAATTGAGAATGAGAAATAGGTATCAATATCTATCTGATAAAATGTTGCATTTCTCTTTTACAGGAAAAGCTAAACAACCATAATTTTCCTTACAGATGATTTTAGTTGGACATAGAAGTTAAGGAGTTCTAATACACTTGATTATGAGTGATTTATAGCGTCTGTGTTGGCCTGCATTCAAGAAAAGAATATGTTCTTTTTGTATTTATGAAGAGGATGAAGGAACATTGTTGCTAGAAGACAGTGTTATGTGATTTCTGTGCCTGTTTTTAGGAGCAGGAGTATAGAAGCAGGCTGCAGATCTGCTCACTGCCTTTCTTGTCAAGGTCAGACTCGAAGGGAGAGTAGCAAACTTAAGGCTTGCCAAGGATCAAGGGATTAGATGTGTAGATAATTCAAATGGGAAAATATACTTTACTTGAAGAAATTGCTGTCACAGATGTCTCTTAAATCAGTAGCTGTACACAGGCTTGACAGAACTGTGCATTTTTTTTTTATAATTTATTAGCAGGTGCCACTATATTAATTGATGTCTTGCTCATCAAGCAGCTGAAAGCAGGTCACTAAGGTGGTTTCACAATAGTTTACAGTGATTAATTATAGGTTTGGTTTAAGTCTATATGAATGATGCTGCTCACAGATTCTTTAGAGATACATTCAGTTCACCATAGTAGCAGGACAAGAGAAGCCTGTTAGCAGTGGGTGTCAAGAGGTAGGTAAGATCTTTATGCACATGGGCGATGTTGTATAGCATGTTTATCCATTTTGAATGTATTTTTTTTTCTGAAGACAACTCCTAAGAGCAGGATTGAATGTTGTAAAAAGAAAGCTTTTGAAACTCCCGGTTGTTTTTTTTGTTGTTGTTTTGGAGGTAGTTAGCAGGTAGCTGTTGGTCCTTTCCCTCAGAATAACCTGGCCTTGTATTTTGAAAATGTGTTTATTTCTGTTTCCATTACAATTTTTGCTTATACTGTAGCTAATTACTTACTAAAAAAGGTAGATAGGTGTGTATGGTACAAGCTTTGTGTGCTGTTTATACCTTTGTGAGAGGTTGAACAGCAGTGATTTGTTGTTTTCATTTCCATTTTGGCCTATCTACATCCTCACTCTTCACATAGGACCAGGTCGTTCAGATTACCTATGTCTCTTCTCTCTTCTGCTGCCCATTCTTTTTAGTTTTGACTATCAATAGATCTTCTTTTATTATTTCTAATAAACATATCTTATGCCTGCTGTGCACTTTTTGTTAAAATAATTAGATTCCCATTGTAGTCTGTCATAAGATAAATGTAGATATTATTGTGCCACAACTAGGCTGATTTTGGTCCCCCCAATTATTTTTTTTTTTTGTTATTTGATTTGCTTAAGACACATTAATACATTTTGAATTTCAATTGATGGTACAAATTTTGAATTAGCTTTCGTTGCAATAATTCAGATGTTGCTGGCAAAAATTCTGTTGTTCTATTGGTGCAAGTATTATTTATTTCAGTGAATTAGTTCAGATGTACACTACTCTAACAAAAAAAAGATCTTGGCCCTTCCTCTGTTTTGTAATATTAATTCTGTATATGTCTGATTTAATTCTGTAATAAGGGGTCAGAGGAAAATTGCCTTGTGTTTTCTAAACCTACTTTACTGTGCCGTTAAATTTTTCCCATTGTTTTATTGTGTTTTGTATTCATGACTAAATTATTTTATTATTATTTTAATCTTTATTTTACTCTCGACAGCTTTATTTTTCTTTATTTCTTATTTCTTTTTTAACTTATTTTTGCTTTCCCTATCATCTGATAATTCTGAATTGTTTGTCTGTATATAGCTATAGACATAGATGCCACTGGCTTAGATGCAGAAGAAAATGATATTCCAGCAAACCATCGCTCCCCCAAACCCAGTGCAAACAGTGTAACATCACCCCACTCCAAAGAGAAAAGAATGCCCTTCTTTAAGAAGGTAACACCGACTTCCAAGCTCCCATTTGTCCACCTGCTCACCTGCACTGCGTCACATTTCTAGTCCTGTTAACTGTCTGCGTCCTTTGACAAGCCAATAACATGCATGCTTTGTTGTTCTTTGTTTCTTTTCCATGCTGCTGTAGCTAAGCAGAAGCAGAAATCGGTAAGTTTATTTCGGCACTACCTGTGTTCATCTTGCTGCTGGCATCATTATGATTATTGCCCCAGTTTAACAGTGCAGCTACCCTAGAATTAAAGAAGACATTAACTGAACTATTCAAGTATACAAAACACTAAAGCAAACAGTTCTAAGCTCAGTGTGTCCATGAGACTCTGCTACAGTATTTATCCTTTTTGATGGAATAAATAATACAGAAGGCCTTCTAGATGCCTGAGGAATTTTTTTTCTAACAAATTCATATAATGCACCTCTTTAGTGCATACCTATTCTTTGTATCTCTGTCTTTTTCAAGGTATTATTTTCTTTGTAACTCAGTCTACTGAAATCATTATTGCAATCTAATCAGATATACAGGCAGTAGTTACGAAACAAACAATCAAAATCTGTGAATTTTTAATTTAGTCAGTATTTAAACTTTTAATTCACTTGGTGCAAAATCTACAGATGAGAAACAACAGTGGAAAAGTACAGACTTCTTTTGGCAGTCTGGTGTGAGTTTTTCCTATTGTCATGAATAAGTTACCAGCCAAATGATCTTGCCTTACATCAGTGAAATGCTTTTGTATCTCAGCTATTGTAAATGGTACTGTTAGTTTCCATAAGAGCCCGTGTCTACATAGATAACCCTAAGTGCTGCAGAATTATACCACTGGCATCCTATTACAGCAAACTGAGATATGTTTCTAGGATATCTGGTAGAAAACATTATCAAGATACTAGGTAGCAGCCAAACTATGAAACTACTATGCTTCTACTTAGAAAAATAAAAAATAATCTTCAAAGTCTTCATAGCTGTTCTTCATTTGCTTTTAACTATTCAACATCTTCAGGCTATATATGCTGCTTCTAAACCGTGCCAAGTGCCACTGTTGCTAGTTCTTTGGATTGCTGACATGTTTAGGCAAATAAAATATTTTATTCTTTCTTGAACTCTTTTAAGAAATATCAGATCCTTCTCATTTTCAGTCACCAGTATTTTCTGCAGTAAGGTCTGTGGAAATCAGCAGCATTTTCATGCTTCTGAATAATTTCTTCATTAACTGTATTTATAGCCAAGTGTAAATGCTAAGGAAGAATTACACATGTTGATATGTATTGAATGCATAAGCTTCTTCAGAAGATGCATCTTGCAGACAAACCACCATGCTATCAGACAGTGATTAATTCCATGTCTCTCCATTCTGTATGATCTCTTTTATTCTATATCAGTCTTTACTGATTACAATAGCTTTTGTAATAACATTTGCATTAAAACTGGGCGGACATCCCAAACTAATCATGTGTGGTCTAACCACTGAACGTGAACCATGTGGTCTGAACTTTGCTAGTTTTTGTTTCAGATTCCTATTTGAACTTGACTCTACAAGTGAAAGCCGTATAGCTAAATGCCAGGACATTACAACATTAGATTCTTTAATACTAAATTGAAGAACATAGTTGTTTCCATTAGATAGACAGTGTCCTGCTGAAAGCTTTTTTAAAAATAAAACTGTTTCAACAGATTTTCGGTTAACCCCATATTCCATCAAATAAGATAACTTCTGTACATTCCCTGATTTTCAAATAGCCAGTTAACTTCTAGCATGAATATTTTTAACTGGGTTGACACTTTAAAACAAAGTTCTGTTGTATCAGTGCACTTTTGCTATAAACGCTTTGTAATGGGTTTTTCTTAGGAGATGACTCCAACACATATCAGATTATTAGTGATGTTTAGCAGATTATTAGCAAGAACAGCAGAAGGCTGCATTTTAATACTGGTGCAGCGTAATTGCAGAGTTTTGCTTTGAAATGTGTTGAGGTAGATTCTGCCCTGTGTAACATGAGTTCATCTGATATGCTTACAATGCCTTGGGCACTGGTATTAATATTTACTGATTATCTGATGAAGCTACAGATAACCAAAAATAAGATAAATTATATTTAAAATATAAAAACATTCATGAAAATGTTTTCTGTGTTTTAGACTGCTTTAGACTGCTGCTTGTTTAGCATTTTGTGCTGTCACTGTATTAATGTTTGTCCGTGTTTTCCTGTTTCGTAACGTATATTCTTATTTTAACCTTATTGTGAAACATCTTGGGATATGTTGAGTACTGAAATAATGAACAATGACTGTACTATGCAGTCTTGACTGATATATTTTTACTGCATAGGCATCTGAAAAATAGGCATACCATCTTTCTGTATCACCCACAAGTTCCTGGGTTTGGATTAGATATGTTTTTCCCTGAGACAAAAACAATCTTTCTTAAAAACAAAAAGCCCTTCCTGATAAGTCAGTGTATGCTACTCTTGGAGGTATATATTGATTAGCAATTTATTAAAGAAAATAAAATGGATTAATCTGCTTTTATGTTATTTCAATACCAATGTAAAAATTGTGGTAGTCTTTGGAAGCAAGTAGTCTTAACTATTTTTCTTTTTCAAAGTAGTTTTTGTAAATTATGCACGATACGTTAGTAAGTAGTTTGGTGAATACTGTACTAACACAGTCTGCTCTTTGGTGGTGATGGCACTTCCCAGAGTAAAAGTATTGGTATCCCAAGCTCTGTTTATGAAAATTTTCTTTAAATACTAACTTGATCAGTGATTGTTTTGTTTCCTTTTGGAAGTGAATTGTGTATGCAAATATGGAAGTCAGACCATGATCGCTTCCATTAGAATTTCCAGTGATGTCAGGTTTTGCAAATCAGTCAGCAGATCTGAGCATAAAAAGAGATGTTCTAATCTTCTCCTCTTCCTTCTTGTTTTACTTTTCTCCTTTGTAATTTGACAAAGAAAAACTTAGTAGGAATAAAGGTGTCACATCTCCAGAGACAATTGTGTCAAATCCTTAACTATTGGAATTAACCTTTTCAGTCAACCAGTCGTGAATTATGCAGTGGCACATGTGAATGTCTCCAGAGAAACATTTTAGAACTGCTCAGCGCAAACATGAAAGTAAATAGTAAGTCAAAGAAAAGCTTCTTCAGAAAGAAATCTGTGAACCTGTGAAGTCCTTGGGTTCCAATTTTCAGGAAAAGTTAATCAATCCACAATTCTTCCGTTGGTGACATCACTGGAAATTCAGAGTTGCTAATATTGTAACTAATATTTTACACTCTAAGTGCTGCAATGCTGAAATCTTTTTCTGTTTTACAGACAGAGCACATCCCTCCCTATGATGTAGTGCCTTCTATGCGACCTGTAGTTTTAGTGGGACCTTCTTTGAAGGGATATGAGGTAAGAGATCGTTGCAAATCATTTTATTTTGCCAAAAATATTTTGCATCATGTTGATTTGAATGTTTGGAGGTAATTAAGCTGAAAAATATGATTTGTATCATAGACAAAAATATAGACAGTTTATACTTCAATGAGATGTGTGGTTACATTCGTTTTATTTCATATCCAAATTCAGATTAGGACAAAATTATTTACATTGTTGTCATATTGTTCAGATAAAAGTTTTACTGTCAACTTCAATATCTTTTTCTAAATTGTTAGCATCAGCTATCATCAGTTTCTCCTATCTAATTATTAATTTCTTGTTTCTTTGCTTTTAGGTAACAGATATGATGCAAAAAGCATTATTTGATTTTTTAAAACATAGATTTGAAGGGCGGTAAGTACTTTGCATTATAAATTTGCTTGAGTTCTGATCCTGTTAGGTACTAATTAATTTTTTAAGGAACAATGACATACATACCCTTTATTTTGAGAGCTGGCTTGTTCTTCCATCAGGAAAGACATTTAAATGATCTTAAAAATTTGTTGAAATCTTGAAATGAAAAATTGTTTCCTTCAATGTTGCATAATTGCATTTGAAAAATGGGAAAATTCTTTCCTATACAACCTTGGAAGGAAATTGGCAGGAGAAAAATTGTCAATTAGTAAATAAAAATATCTAACCGGTATCCTAATTTACATGTTGGATTTCATTCTAAGGCTAATGGCCAAAAATCATAGTACTCGGTTATTTTTTTAGCTTTAGTTATATGAAGCCTGAATTTTCAAAATGGTGTCACTAATCAGTATTGTGGAAATAACTCCTGTTTTTCTGTATTGATTTCTGTCTCTATTAAATTTTGTCTGGTTATAGAAAGTTTATACACGCATTGAACTCACTGGAAAATGACTTTTTTGATTACATTTCAGATGAACAGCATCTAAGTATGTTTCTTAGAAAGTAGCTCCCCCTCTCCAAACCCATTTTCTTCTTTTAAATTGCAAGTAAAATCATACAAGGAAGAACAAGAGAGTAACATAAGCCTTTTTTAACTCTCAGCACTGGAAAAATGTGACCTCTAAAACTTTGTTAGAACAGAGCTGGAAGGGGAATTTAGCTAAAGGGTGCTTTTTGACCCTGGAAAGCAAAACAAACTGAGTTAACTGTTTTCCTGGGAAGAAGAATATGCAGAAGGTTATGTAGAAGGTCAGTGCAAACTGGAAGTAATCACTTATTTCTTGGCTCATCTTTTCTTCTAAACACAGAACTGAGCCTACCAGAAACTCAGCCCAGAGTTCTCATTTGCTTTTTCATTCCAGTGTTTGTTTCTTTATATTTCAGTCCTCATTTTCAGACAGCCAACGTATTGCTTGAACTTTCTGGAAAAATATAGGTAGCTCTTGCACTCTATTTAAAAAAAACAAAACAAAACAAAACAAACAAAAAAAAAACCAACAAAAAAAAAAAAAAAAAACAAAAAAAAAACAAGTAGTTAACTGAAGAATAAATGTAAGTATCGTGTGATTTGCCTGTTAAGTTTTACCTTCACCTGTTATCACTACATTTTTGTATATAATAAGCCAGAATGTCATTCAGTACCTTTGGAAAAATAAAAACAAAAACAATCAAAATAGTCTAACCACAGCAGGCTTGGAGCCACTAGGGAGTACATCTTCCTCACAACTCTATCATTTCCCTACCTCTCTGTCCCCAGACTGGAGTAATTTTGCAGATCATGATCATGCTACAGTTTGGTAGTATGCAGAAAGGGGGATGTCTTCTCAATAGTTCTTGTAACATAATTCCATCTCTTCTGTTCACTTTATGCAAAGCACACTGAGGTACCAAGGAGAAACTCTTTTTCTGTGTTCTTAGCCAACTTTTTATTTTAAGTGAATCTCTTTTCTCCTCAAAATAAATAGCATTCCCTTCTATATTATTTTACTTTTGCAGTATATCAATTACACGAGTCACAGCAGACATCTCGCTTGCCAAACGCTCAGTATTAAACAACCCCAGTAAGCATGCGATAATAGAGCGATCCAACACAAGATCAAGCTTAGGTAAGTACCTAGAATGATGCTACTTTCAAACTGGCTGTAAAGTTCACTACTCACAATTCTTGTAAGTTAAAAATAGCCTTCTCTCTGCTGTGAGAAAATCACGATTCCTGTAGTTCAGAAATCCTGTCTCTGGAAGTCATTTTTAAGTCATTACCACTTAAACATCATGTAGTGCTGGTATGGTTTTATCCTGCTTATGTACACTTCTCGTGTTTGCTGTTAGCTTCAGTGGGAAGTAGCTGCCATAAGGTAAATAAAATCTAAGTAGATGTTCCTCTGGTTAAACAGAGGTAACATTATCAGAATACGCAATGTTGATGTTATGGATATCAATATTATTTTTGATAAGATTCTGAGCAGTGGTATCTACTGATATCTTCGACATGAAAAAAAGACATTGAAGTACATGTTTCAAGAATTTAAAACTGATATAGCTTGGGCTGTTCTTTTATAAGCTTGTATTTCTTTGAAGCGTGCAGAGAGTTTGATTTCTTCTGGACACATATTTTGAAATATTATGAATCTGTGGGACAGGAAACAGAGTTCCTTATCCCTAGCTTTATAACAGAATTTCTGAGCATTAACCGTGTATTTAATATTTGCATAAAATAGCTGTCTTTTGTAGAATCTTATTCTTCCACACAAAGTTCGACTTCTCTTTCTTGAAGATTTATTTCTGAAAACTCTTGTTTTCAGGTATGTGGATAATGTAAATCTTCACACAGTCTGATGGCTTCCAAGTTTGTCTCATTTTGAGTGCTTTCAAATAAATATGTAATATAATATGTAGTGAAATCTTCATACACAATAATTTTCTTCCATGTTAATTTCAGTTTTGTGGCCAAAATCTGTTTGACAATGTAGTGAAAAGATAGCGATATTTATAAATTGAATTGAAAATTTGTAGTAAGAATGGATGTCACCTAGTCATGGAGCGTAAACAGAACTGCTGTGATTGGTTTCCCAGCCTGAACATCAACGCATGGGTTTACTCTATTGTACAAATACATGCAGTAGTAGTAAGCACATCATCTACTCCCTGTACTAAAATATGCTCATACTTGTTTAACAGCTATCAGAAAAATACGTAAAGGAAAAGAATCTATAAAATAAATGCAGCTCAGTCTTGTTAAAAAAGAACAAAAAAGTGAATGTTTGCTCTGAATTGTTTACTATTATGTCCTGGAAAACCTTACCCTTAAGACTATCAACATTTTAGATAAATTTAAAATGGAAGTACTGACAGAATCTCAGTTGGAAACATCCACAACGTATATTTGTATATATAGAAATGTCTGTATTTTTTGTAACTAAGACCTATTATTACCTAAGATTTCCTAAGATTTCATGTTATAGATCTGGTTTTCTGTTGATTACAACTCCTAAAATGTACCTGATTTATAAAACGATTTTGATTTACCTTGGGAAATGTTAGTTAGAGCAACTAGGTCACTCTTAACAATGAAGTTCGGGCAAAAAATAATTTTATCTCTGTTGAATTATTCTCAAAACCTTTACTCCAATACTCTATATGCCTTATTATCTTGCAGGGTTTTGAAATTTAGAAGTGAGCTAAAGTGTATTTCAATTATATGCTTCTGAACATTTTTATGAAAATTGTGAGAAAACATGATCAAATTACTATAAGCTTCAGTAGAAACAGCAGATAGCACAAGCCAGGCTTTGCATCTAAATCACTTACAGTCTAGACATGACTGATCAAGGTCCAGTGCTGATACTGAGTCCCCTGCAGATTGGATCAGGACAGTGAAACTCAAATAAAACAGGAAAGTATTTATGTTTGTTTTTATTTTCTACTTTGTTGGGAGAATTGAGTAAAAAGATGTGAATTTAACTGTGCTCAACAAAGCACAGTTAAGAAGAAGAAGGGAGAAAGGCAAGAGGTGTGAGACTCCAGCACAGAAATTGCTGGATTTATGGAACAGGAGCAGGAAAAGTTGAAGCTATTGATGAAGGGGATTTGGTCCAGGCTTGGGCAAAAACTTAGGATGAAGAAAACTGGTTAGAAAAGAAGTCAGGAGGAAAAATGATGTGGTGGCAGTGGGCTGGAAGGAAAACTGAGAATAAGATAAAACAACTGCAGTCAGAAAATAGACCTGATTTATTAAGTCAGTTGGAAAGCCATTGTTCAAGGGCAAAGAAAAGAAAGTACAAGGAGTATTACAGCCTGTTCCGTAGCTTGCTGTAACGTAACTCAAAACAGAAATAGAGTCAGTAAGAAAACAGCTTTGTAGCCATAGGTGTCCTCCTCTACCAGCGGTTCAACAAAGAAGATGACAGCATACCACTGCTATGAGTACTTAGTTAGCTCAAGTTGCAGACATGGGTGGCAACCTCATACTCTACTGTGGGATTTTTATTCTCAGTTTGTATGATGAATTTGTTATATGTGTAAGTTACCAAATGTTCCATTATGAGAATATTATTAGGTTTACAAATGAGAGTTATCTAAAATAAAGATTAGGAAGTATTAGTGTAAGGGTTTATTGTTCAACATGTTTGTACTGTAGTTTATGTAGGCTGCAGTTTGGTCTTTGGTCACATGTTTGCAGACTACTTTTACACCAGTCTTCTGCCTTAGCTTATTGTTGTTGTTTTTTTTTTAAACGCACACATTACTAATGGAAAAATGGAATTGCTTAGTGACAGAGGTCAGCCACTGTTTCACTTTCTTGTATGATGTATGAAGCAAGAATCTTGAGGAAAGCAAAGGAAATACTGTAAATGTAAAATGCATTTTCAATTTAAATCTGGAACAAGGCAGAAAATATTGATTTGACTAAAATTTTTTGTGGCAAGTAAATCTATCAATTTTAACAGAGAAGGTTTGTATGAAACAACATAAAATTTTGATCAAAAAGGTTATCGCTCATCTTCTACTCTCAAAGCACTTAACATACCAGTAATTAAAACACATTTGGGATGTATGATACCCAGGGTCAAGCTTCTGCTGCAATTGATATGGAAAAGGGATCTGTGTTTCAGCCTGAAGAATAGTGAGTGCTGAACGCTCTTTTTTGGTTCAGCAGATATTATTTCTCTATTCAAAAATGGAATAGCCCCAGGGGGAGAGGAAGGTCTGCTGCCTACAACCTGATAGTCTTTAAGCTGAAGTATGATATGCCATAATCTTCTATTTTGAATCTCAGCATCCAACACACCTCTCCCAAAATTCTTATAGATGGCAGGTTTTGTTCCCACTGTGTTTTCTGTACACTTCAGGCATAATTTGTAGAGCTATTAAGTATTGGGGCTGTAACTGAAATTTGAGCCTTGAACTTGTCAAAAAATAACACGTAACATCAAAATTAGCATGTTCCATGGTAACACACTGGTTTTCAAAATGCAGATGGAAACCAGGCAGTATTTTATGGAGCTGGAGCTACTGCTGGGGACCTTGCAAAATACCATTCTTATGGCTCTTTGTTCCCCAGAAGTCATCTTATTTTAGACTCTTCTCTAGCAGTCATTTAACTAGGGAGATATTCTCTTCATTCCCAGCCTAGCATGACGATTTTGTCTTTTCTCTGGAATCAGCACTGATATCATGTACGTAGTAGCATCAACAATGTCCTGAGTCTTAGTAGTGACTTTTAAAAGAAGCAAGGTTATGTTCCGTTTTGAAGAAATAATCCCCAAACTCATGATTTCTTGTAGGATGGCTTCCAGCTTCCTAGTTGGCAAAGATATTTTACTATGGTAATTATTCTGAATAATCAGGTACAATATTTCTGGAATTGATCCTACCCTCTCCTAGATGAGAGATAGCTTGTGATTAATCTCTGTCACTCCAATCTGGAAAATAAAAATTATTCCAGGCTGTCACTGAACTGGGACATTTGAATGAGAAAAATCATTTTATTGGAGCAGTCAAACACTACCACAGTAAATTCCATAAAATAACCTACAAGAACTATATTCATTTAGTTTTCAGAGAAAGATTAGCACAATATGCTCTGAGATATCTAACATGGATTTGTCAACAAAGGGAAAGTAATTGATTCAATACTGCTGATTATTTGAGTGTATGGAGTTATGCACTGATTGAGACAGCATTCTTACAGAAACAAAATTAGAGTGTGATTCCAGAAATCACTATCTTATAGGCCCTATCTTATAATACAGTGCACATGAGGTTTGAATTAAAACAGCGATCTTAGCATTTCCTAGTTTTTTAGTATTACCTTTGCAGTTGATATATGTGTAATGTATATTTATATATTTTTATAATATATACAAATATGTATTATTAGAAGTATCATTAAAGATATTATTAAATTTATCAGTCATAGATAAATCATTAAGGTTCAGGTTACCTTAGTTCTTTTCTAGTACCTGCTACAAATCTGCTGCAGGAAAAAAGTTTTCTTATCCTGTTTTCCCATACATAATGTAATAATAATAGATCCTTTTCTCCCAATTACCTCTAGAAAAAGACAGAATTTCTGTCCACATCATCTACAATGATTTATTTCTTGTCCAGCTTTATAGAAATAGTATGTATTGCAATGAAATTTGATCTTCCTAATGAAGAAAAGTTGGAGTTTAATTGAGTTGGGTTGGGTTGGGTTAGCTCTGAATGAGGGTTCTTGGCTTCTTTGCTTTAGGACATGGGAGATGAGTTGCTGTTTGTCTGTTTCCTCCCTGAACAGCCAGGAGAGCATGAACTGAAACCTATATGCTTATTCCATGTCTTGTATAATTTAAAAATGGCTTTCTGATGCAACAAATACAACTCTCCAGAACATCTCTGTATTAATTGAGATCCCTTCCAAGTGCAGTGGAAGGCAATTGCTTTCTCACCCACCTTTGTGTATGAATACACCATGGACCTAGGCAGTCAATTAACTAATTATTTTCACATTTGTGAGCAGCTGTTGTAACTGCAGCAGAGAATGCTATTTCTTACAAATTTGAAAATATATCTTCATTTTTTATGTAAGGCCCTTGTTCTTTAAAAGAATTAAATGTGGTACAGA